AAATATTTTTAAGAATTTAAAATCATATTATTTATAATTTTCGTAAAATTATCCCTATCCAAACCCAATCTAATAAAAAAAAAAAATTAATTCACACAAACAATTATTATCTAAACCCACCGCAATTTTAAAATAATAACCCATCACGGAATACCGAACTCAAAATTCTTTGGATATAGAATAACATAAAAAAATAATAAAATAGATAAAAAATAACATATCAAATAAATTCCCAGAAAAATGGTAATATATATGTCAGAAAATATATCAGATAAAATTTCTTATAAATTAAATCGGAATATTATGGATTCCTATTTTATAAAGATAAATAATAAAATAACGGGATATATTCCCCCAATAGGATTTTCGTTTTCTAGGAACCCATAATTTTCCAGAAAAAAAATATCTTTATAAAATAAAAAATATCAAATTTAAAGAAATCATTATTTCCGAGAGCGCCTGCGAAGAGTTCTTCGTAAAAAAGCAATCGTTATAATACATCTGCAGATCTACGTCTTCAAATTTTCATATCTGCAGATCTACATCTTCACATCTTCAGATCTACATCTTCACACCTTCACATCTGCAGATCTAATTACATCTTCATACTTTCATATCTGCAGATCTACATCTTCACACCTTCACATCTGCAGATCTAATTACATCTTCATACTTTCATATCTGCAGATCTACATCTTAACACCTTCACATCTGCAGATCTACATCTTCTCACCTTCACATCTGCACATCTACATCTTCACACCTTCACATCTGCTGATCTACATCTTCACACCTTCACATCTGCAGATCTACATCTTCACACCTTCACATCTGCAGATCTACATCTTCACACCTTCACATCTGCAGATCTAATTACATCTTCATACTTTCATATCTGCAGATCTACATCTTAACACCTTCACATCTGCAGATCTACATCTTCATACCTTCACATCTGCAGATCTTCATCTTCACACCTTCACATCTGCAGATCTACAACTTCTCACCTTCATATCTGCAGATCTACATCTTCTCACCTTCACATCTGCTGATCTACATCTTCACACCTTCACATCTGCAGATCTACATCTTCACACCTTCACATCTGCAGATCTAATTACATCTTCATACTTTCATATTTGCAGATCTACATCTTAACACCTTCACATCTGCAGATCTACATCTTCATACCTTCACATCTGCAGATCTACAACTTCTCACCTTCACATCTGCAGATCTACATCTTCACACCTTCACATCTGCAGATCTACATCTTCACACCTTCACATCTGCTGATCTACATCTTCACACCTTCACATCTGCAGATCTACATCTTCACACCTTCACATCTGCAGATCTACTTCCTCGCACCTTCACATCTGTAGATCTTCTTTCTCTCCTCCTTTCTTTCGCTCGCTCTTCTTTCTATCTCTCTCTTAAGGCGGGGGCGGTGCCGCCGGAGCGCCGCGAAACGTGACAGGCACAGCATTTCGTGTACCTCGGACTTCCAAAACCTAGGTAAAATTACGATTTTGAGGTCTCCGCCGCAACCCTTTCGCACGAAATGGACGTTGAACGTCAAAAACTGAGGTAAAATTACGATTTTGAGGTATCCGCCGCAACCCTTTGGCGCGAAATGACGTTGAACGTCAAAAACTGAGGTAAAATTGCGATTTTGAGGTATCCGCCGCAACCCTTTCGCGCGATAATGGACTTCAAAAACTGAGGTAAAATTGCGATTTTGAGGTATCCGCCGCAACCCTTTTGCACGAAATGAACGTTGGACGTCAAAAACTGAGGTAAAATTGCGATTTTGAGGTGTCAGTCGCAACCCTTTCGCACGAAATGGACGTTGGACGTCAAACACTGAGGTACAATTACGATATTGAGGCGTCAGATCGCAACCCTTTCGCACGAAATGAAGTTCGATCGCCAAAAACTGAGGTAAAATTGCGATTTCACGGGTCCGGTCTCTGTGTGTGAAAGTGTTTGTGTGTAAAAGCTTCTGTGTGAAAGCTTCTGTGTGTAAAAGCCTCTGTACGTGAAAAGTGTTTGTGTGTAAAAGCGTCTGTGTGTAAAAGCGTCTGTGTGTAAAAGCTTCTGTGTGTAAAAACTTCTGTAAGTAAAAGCTTCTGTGTGTAAAAGCCTCTGTCTAAAGTGTTTGTGTGTAAAAGCGTCTGTGTGTAAAAGCGTCTGTGTCTAAAAGCGTCTGTGTGTAAAAGCCTCTGTGTGTAAAAGCGTCTGTGTGCAAAAGCGTCTGTGTGTAAAAGCGTCTGTGTGTAAAAGCTTCTGTGTGTAAAAGCGTCTGTGTGTAAAGGAGTCTGTGTGTAAAAGCTTCTGTATGCAAAAACCGTATGTGTGTAAACACTTCTGTGTGTAAAAGCATCTGCGTGTAAAAAAATCTGTAAAAAACATTCTGTGTGTAAAAGCTTCTGTGTGTAAAAGTGTCGTGTGTGTGTAAAAATGTCTGTGGTTAAAAGTTAAAAGCCTCTGTGTGTAAAAGCGTCTGTGTGTAAAAGCGTCTGTGTGTAAAAGCGTCTGTATATAAAAGCCTCTGTGAAAAAGCTTCTGTGTGTAAAAACCTCTGTGTAAGAAAGTGCGTGGTGTAAAAGCGTCTGTGTCTAAAAGTGTCTGTGTGTAAAAAGCGTCTGTGTGTAAAAGATTCTGTGTGCAAAAGCGTCTGTGTGTAAAAGCGTCTGTATGTAAAGGAGTTTGTGTGTAAAAGCTTCTGTGTGTAAAAGCCTCTGTGTGTAAAAGCCTCTGTGTGTGAAAGTGTTTGTGTGTAAAAGCTTCTGTGTGTAAAAGCGTCTGTGTGTAAAGGAGTTTGTGTGTAAAAGCGTCTGTGTGTAAAAGCGTGTGTGTGTAAAAGCGTTTGAGTGTAAAATCCTCTGTGTGTAAAATCATTGTGTAAAAAAACGTCTGTGTGTAAAAGCCTCTGTGTGTGAAAGTGTAAATGTGTGTAAAAGAAAAGTGTGTGTATGTAAAAGCTTCTGTGGGTAAAAGTGTCTGTGTGTCAAAGTGTCTGTTGTAAAAGCGTTTGTGTAAATAAGTGTCTGTGTGTAAAAGCCTCTGTGTGTAAAAGCGTCTGTATGTAAAAACGTGTGTGTGAAAGTGTGTGTGTGTGTGTAAATGCATCTGTGTGTAAAGCGTCTGTGTGTAAAAGCTTCTGTATATAAAAGCTTCTGTGTGTATAAGCGTCTGTGTGATTCTGTGTGTAAACGCGTCTGTGTGTAAAAGCGTCTTTGTGTAAATGCGTCTGTGTGTAAATGCGTCTGTGTGTAAAAGTGTCTGTGTGTAAAAGGGTCTGTATGTAAAAGTGTTTGCGTGTAAAAGTGTTTGCGTGTAAAAGTGTCTGTGTATAAAGGCGTCTGTGTGTAAAAACCTATTTGTGTAAAAGTATCTAGTGTCTCGTGTAAAATCTTTTGTGTGTAAAAGCTTCTGTGTAAAAAAGGGTCTGTGTGTAAACGCTTTTGTGTGTGAAAGTGTCTGTGTGTAAATGCGTCTGTGTGTAAAAGCTTCTGTGTGTAAAAGCGACTGTGTGTAAAGGAGTCTGTGTGTAAAAGTGTCTGCGTGTAAAGGCGTCTGTGTATAAAAACCTATGTGTGTAAAAGTATCTAGTGTCTGTGTGTCAAACCTTCTGTGTGTAAACGCTTCTGTGTGTAAAAGCGTCTGTGTGTAAAAGCGCCTGTCTGTAAAAATCTCTGTATGTAAAAATTCCTGTGTGTAACAGCTTCTGCGCAAAAGCGTCTGTGTGTAAGAGGTTCTGTGTGTGAAAAACAATACGAAGGATACGATGCAAAGTAGTATCCTGTACTTGTAATATATTGTTTTGATACTATTTATCTCGTCTGCCTATAATATATATATATATTTTTTTTAATAATATAATATCTCAATACCAGTAGTACCGCACAACGCGGTGACGGAAGTTTCAAAAATAGGAAACCTGTAGGAGAGGTTGGTTGTTGTGAATCAGGGATGGCAGCGCGAAGCCGCTGATGGACCGAAAGGTGGTTGAGGTCTCCTCTCTTTCTCTTTCTTTCTTTCTCGAGGCGGCAGTTTTTGACACGGAGTCACCCAACATGGCTTGAATGGCTCTTTAACCGATAGCCCGCCGACCCCAGCTTGCGGCCGGGGGAGCGCATCAGAGAAGAAACTCCAAGCAGCAAGAGGAGAAACAGAAGCAAGCAGCAGGCACAGAAAGAGAAGCAGAAGCAGAAGAAGGTGAGCAAAAAGATAGAAGAAAGCAAACGGCAAGAGCAAGAGGCAAGACCAGGCCATGGAAGAATGGGAGTTGCACACATTTCAGAGCTAGTTTCCTGTAGCTCCAGGCTGCCCGAGACAGAGCCCATCCGTCCTGAACGCAGGGAAGCTAAATAGAGTTTTGTGCAACATTGAAATTTGGGGCCTGGGGTTTTAATTTGTAGACGTCTGTAAGGTTTGATTTTTCTGTCCATCTACTGTAGGTCGTTGTTAATAGGCACGAGGTTTCGGAGACATGTTAGGTCATGTCACTTCGATCATGCATGAGGTACACTTAGCGTGGCATAGTTTTTGTCTGGTGTGTTGGTAGTGACAAATCTCAAGAGTTCGTGCAGGTTTTGCAGCCAGGCCATTTTGAGCGCAGAAGGCAGGGATGCTTGCAAGGAAAGTGTCTGTAGACTCACATCCTTAAAGGATAATAGGTTTCACTCAACCTACAAATCTACGCACAGTAATGGACTTAATGTGCTTCTTCTTTGAGGACCGTGAGTTCAAAAATCCTGAGCTTTGGTCAGGCACGCAGTCGGACCGAATATTCGCTGCCTCACTTCGGGCAAGGCCCTGCGCAATTACACCCGGTGATAAGCCAGGGTCCATGAGAGCTGGTCAGAGCACTACGTCGGCTCTGAAGCTGGACACTGTACAAGGCTGGAGTGGAGTGGTTGAATTTTCATCTCTCTACAGTGCAGAATCTTTACACAAATTTCAGCCCAAATGCTGAATCGTATTTGCCTATACCGCTGCCAACAATGGCACTCTGTACAAGTCTCATGAATCGTCAGAACACACTGCTTCAAATTCAAGGCAGTCAATTCTCAAAATATGAGTGCCCCAGTCATCCCCTGTTCTTTCCTTTTCGTTAACTCAAAGCGTGACGTTGAGTTTCACTGTTCTGGGTCTACGAGGAGGTCTGTGCATGAGGTCTTGACGAAATTCCTTGCAGCTGGTGAAAAAAACCATTCCTTGTCACAACTCATGTCTCTATTTGTGGCAATGACCATCTTCAAAACCTGTATGGCATGAGACCAAGAACAGAAGACCAGCCACTTACAATTGAAGCCCCAAGATTGCTATGTCAACACACTCTCTCAAATTCAGTACAGTGCGATACAAGATGGTATAAATATTCCTAGGGTGCCATCCCTCTTTCGATTTGCCAGCAAAAACCTTGGACCTCGCAAAGGGTAACCGAAGGAAGTTTAGAAGTCAAACTTCCGACTATATATATATATATACATATATATATATATGGACAGATGAAAAAGCAGAGGTGGGAAGAGTCAGAGAAGAGAACAGAAGAAGAAAGAAGATCAGAGAAGAGAAAAAGGCAGAAGACAGAAGATGCAGGGGCGTGAAAAGATAGCAAAGTCGCGAAACACTGTGTTTTTCCAATGATTTGTGGCTCCGGAGGGTCGAAAAGTAGGCTCGCTAAAGCGGCGGGTGCGGAGCCATCTGGCCAGATGAGAGATGAAAAATTGCACACCGTTGTGGCGCGAAGCACATTTTGAAGCCAGGTTCGGAGCACTTTTGGAAGTTGAGATGTTGAGAAAAGTGCACGCCGTTGTGGCGCGAAGCACATTTCGAAGTGAAAATGTACAAAGCACACCATGCTCGGAGCACTTTTGGAAGTTAAGATGATGAAAAAGTGCACGCCGGTGTGGCGCGAAGCACATTCGCAGCTAAAATGTACAAAGCACACCATGCTCGGAGTTGAAAAAGCGCACGCCGTTGTGGCGCGAAGCACATGTCCAAGTCAACATGTTAGCACATGCTCGGACCACTTTTGAAGGTTCAGACGTGATTTTGCTTGGCAAGCGCAAGGGATTCTGCACCTTGCCAAAAGTGAGAAAACGTGAGGATTTTGTAGCAGTTTCAAAAACGATGGCAGGCGTGGGACATTTCAAGAGGTTCTACAAAGATGCATTTCGCGTGGCAGGCGCAGTACAAGAGACATGTTCATCAGAGATGTTAGGAGGTCAGGGCGGAGATTTCCTGAGAGGGGTTGCACTTTGGAGCATCAGATCTTAAGGTTTGCTAAGATTATTTTGCGTGACGGGTGCAGCACTTCGTATGACCTGGTCTCACCTTTTCGTGGCAGGCGCAATACTCTAGACAGATGGAATGCAAAAATCGCAAAACGCATTGGTACGAGGCGGTCAGCTCTGCACTTAACTCTCCATTTTTGAAGGACGTCTGGGGTGAACCATGGTGAACCCAGAGGAGGTTCAACAGCGGGGTTCCACTGGGGGTGTATGTGGTTACTGTAGTAATGTGTAGTACAGTCAGTTTCACTGTACATGTCATGTCTGAACAGTTCATTTCTGTGGCAAATTGCAGAGGTGATGTGAGGTTGGTGCTGCCAAATCCTTCAGGAAGTGGACTTACGAAATCAGTGCGGCTGTACCTCGCGAAGGATGGGCTCAAGAAGCGTCACTGAAGCCTTAGTCACCTATCTGTGTCACAAGCCTCAACCTGCGATTTTGATGCTGCCAAGTTCAGAGATTGAGGAAGTCACGCAGAAGAGCTTCGTTTTCAAGCTTGCAAATAGACAGATAGATAGGTAGATAGATAGATAGACAGAAAGATGGCTAGATAGACAGAGACAGACAGATTGATAGACAAATAGACAAGCAGATACATAGACAGACAAATAGAGATATACAAACAAAGATAGACAACTGCAACTACACTACACTAGAACTACAACTACAGCTACACTACAGCTACAGCTACAACTTCAACTACAATTACCGTTGCACAACACTATAGCAACAACTACAACAACAACAACAACTACTACTACTACTACTGCTACTGCTACTGCTACTGCTACTGCTACCGCTACCGCTACCGCTACCGCTACCGCTACCGCTACCGCTGCTACTACTACTACTACTACTACTACTACTACCTCTACTACTACTACTACTACTACTACTACTACCTCTACTTCTACTTCTACTACTACTACTACTACCACTACTACGACTATCACCACTACTACCACTACTACCACCACTACCACTACTACCACTGCGACTACCACTACCCCTACCCTACAACTGCAACTGCAACTACAACTAAAACTTCCGCTACACTTCAACTACAACAACTACATTTCAACTACACTACAGCTACAACTCCAACAACTACTACAATCACTACTGCTACAACATTACAACTTCACCCACAGCTGCAGGATGTAGTGTGGTGTAGCGAAGTGCCATGTAATTGTAGTTGTAGTGTAGTTGATGCTGTTGAGGTGACCACTGCAACCACTCCAAAAATCACAAGCACCTTCCAGTCCATCAGTGGATTCGCCCTGCCATCCATGCATCACAACAACTCACCTCTCCTATAGTGTCCTATCCTTGAAACTTCCGCCACCGCCTTGTGCGGTACTACTGGTGGGAGCATATGACATGCTCCATTCTACACTAAACAAACACTAGCGAAACTAGTGGCTAGAGTTGCTAGAGTTGTTAGAGAGTGCTGGCATGACCCAAAGCATGCTCTAGCCGCAGTAGCGCCAATTGTGCCAGTAGTGCCAGTGATGACTCTATCAGTGTCCGTTGTCTGTCTGCTGCAATATGCTGCTGGAGCTGGAGCTGGAACTGTGGTCCCTTGTGACCAGCTGTAAGAAAAACAACACGGTGGAGACCAGCTGTTGGGGGACTCGGTGCAGAGTTATCGTCCGGAGAAGTCTTTCCAAGCTATCCCGGGATGTTATAAGTGTGGGTCTTGTTGCGGGTAGTGATAACGGACAACGTGGGCGCCAACAACCCAAGGCCAAGGAATGACGATGTCAGGAATCACAAACAAAAACGTTCATGGTAATGCTGCGGATGATGGCGTAATGACAGTGACAAATGGCTCCACAATCCATGTCGATATCCCCGAGAAAAAATCCGAAAAGCTAACTTGCAAAACCATAGAAAAACAACCCTCAACAGCCAACAAAGCACTCCCTGGCACACTGTTACTACGGTGGTAACACCCGGAGAACCCCGCTTTGCTCTTGACATCTCTTGACATTCTTGAACACTTTTGGCCCAGCAATCCTCAAGGTCCAGGAAGGTGTTGCGCACCACCAACCAGGTGGTTGGATCTGGCTCAGGCTGCCCCGAATGTTCTGCTCCGTCGGCTTGGTCGGTCTGTTCCTAGTCAGTGATGACATTCGGCATCGAGTGAAGTGAGGATCCACATGTCACAACAAGAGGGCCAAACTAGGCCATTTTGAACAGGCAAACATCGTTGGAGACAATCGCAAACAATCACCATAGAACAAACTATGTTAGAAACATTGTGGAAAGAATCTCAAAATTTTCTTCAAGCCTCCCCAAACAGTTTGACAACCGAACGTTGCTTAGACTGGCAGGACCGAAAAGTACAATATCTTGGCCTGTCAAGACCTGCACTTCTCACTTAGACGAGTTCGTGCGTGTTCCACCCTTTCGGAGCTACTTTATCGTAAAGAACGGACAACCCCTTTGGTTCCTGTGGATTGAACTTTGCTTCTGCATCTTCGTGAATGCTTGGTGCGTAGGTGCCGCCGTTGGCGCGACGGTATGCAGCTTTGGCCAGGGGGACAACCTCCGCGAAACGGTTTCCTTAATCTGGATATGGAGAGATTGCCCCGAATGGTTTCAACTCTGGAGCCTCGCCATATCGTTCCCCCACTATGTAGGATACGGAAGGACCAGAACACTATCACTAATGAAGAAATGTTGGCTGCTACAAGTACAAGTGCATGATGAAAAGTGAGCCATGAAGGTCAAGGCGTGGGTCCGCTGCACTTTTGATTTCGTACGAGAACCTGTTTGTGTGATGCAGAGGCATTGAAACTCGGCTCAAAATCAAACAAAAAACAAATATGCATCAACAAATAATATTGAAAATGTCATAATTTTAAGATGATGTAATGCAAGGATCTCAAGAGCTCCCAGTCTGTTCGGCGGACAACGCACTGGTAAGAAACCAGCTCACGCCCGTCCAAGGTATCGAATGCCTCGATGTCCTAATTTGGAACAGCACGGTGGAGATGGAATCCAGGTGGATCTGGCAAAGTGTACAGGTAAAATATTGAATCTGGATGCAAACTCTGCCGGGTCATGTCACAAAAATCACAATTCTACAAACATCTAGAAACAGTACAGATGTGTGCCAAGAATGCCACATCATGATTGTCTTGAAGATTGTCTTGCTCATTCTTCCCAGTATGGCAAAGCTCAAAAGGGGCAAGAACAAGCCTTGCAGACTTTCAAACACCAACCTTGGAGGCAATTGCCCCAGTCCTCGCCGATTGCGTTGAGCAAAATCTTGAGATACTCGACCAAGTGAAATTTGCGCTTTCCTTGGGGGGTGCATGTGTGAATCACCATGCAAACACCCCGGAGATTGGTGCACTTTATCCGTCCTACCGTAAATGGACGAATTCAAACCTTTTCCATTGAGTACAACTCCCTCACCCCCAAAGTTTAATGTTAATTGGACCTGAGGTGCTTTAGCTCCAATGGACGAAATAATCAAACCCCCAAAGTCACTTTTGCCAACACGCGCATTGAAACATGGAGATTTGGTGGCCAGGGGTTCCACACAGAGCCTGTTGCAGGTTTGAATATTTTGTCCATCTACTAGTCTTCCTTCGAGGACTCCAGACGACAAGACGTGCGAATATTTGGCTGCTGGGTTGCGAGGGTTGTGCTCTTGCTGAGTCTTGTAGCGTCGCCAGTGTGGCAAACCCAGTCGCTCTCCAGCGTCAATGGTGACTAAAGGTTCTCTGCTGCACGGTATCATGGGCAAGCCACGCTTGAAGCTTTGAATGGATAGGACCACCTTGGAATCAAGCTGTACAAAGTCATTGCGCAATCATGCGCAGCCCTTCCACTTCCGGATTCAGTCTAAAGTGTGCAGGCGCAACTTTGGACGATAACAGA